GGGGGGGGGGGTTGCGGCCCCCAGCAGCCAACATCCCACCAGCAGAGCCAATTTCTTTAATCTCTATTGCTAATCCTACCTTTCAGTGCAAAAATATTTCAACCAACTCTACTAATTAAGGAATTAACCTTGCAGGTTGCCCCCTATGCCACTTTGAAGACCCTTTGACTTGCACAGATTCCCAGTAATTCTAATGTAGATGAGATTGCAGGATTCACCTACTTTGTAATATTGGGAACTCAAATCTATAAGGCCAATAAATCCCTTTGCAAGGTTAGGACCTACAGCTTTAAAATGCCTCATTCAAAAAAAAAAATCCTCCTGTAAAAACTGAGGTTTTGAGCATTATGTGAATCTGTATTAGGGTGAAGCATAACGGTTCTGAGAAATAGATTTGCTGCAAAATACATAAGACTATGAGAGGAAAGAATTCTTGTGGGTGATATCTTTTATCAGAGCAACTGCATGGTTGGGATAAAGAAAGGCAAGCTTTTGGGAATTACAGTATCCTTCCTTCAGGCATCTGGGAGATAAAAGACATCACCCACAAGACTTTTTACCTCTTGCATATTTCCTGGATCATCATGGTACCACACTACTACCATAAAAATTATGACATTTTATGATGAGGGAGAGATGAAAGTGGTTTAAAAAAAAAACAACAAAATTGTAATTTTTCTCTCTGGAACTGCTTTTTATAATTTACTTTCCAATTCGCGCTTTGAGGACAAGTTTTACATTTTCAAATTAAGTGCATCTCTAACCTTTTAAAAGTCTGGAAAGAAATTTTGAGGGAAACATTTTCAATGTAGTGATTCAAAGAAGTACACACCCACAAATGGTTATCATGTGGCTAAATGCCAATAGTTATTTGTTCAAGGAGCTGTACACATGCCAATTATTTTAACCTTTAATTCTATTTAACCTTCTTTAGAGTCCCTTTTTGGAGAACTTTTTTTTCCATTCTATCTTTTTTACAAAAAGAACTAGGAATATTAATTCAGATCTTGTTCCACTGTTTAGATACCTAAGTATGATCCTATGTTTCAGAGACTCATGCAGAGTAGAACAGGATCACACTTAGGCACCTAATAGGTAGAATAGGATTTAGTTTCTTGGGTGTACTTAGCAGGTAAAGTATTTGCTCCACCAGCACACTTTTGATGATGCAACCAGAAGGCTGAAAGCAAACATGCTGCTTTAACAGGAATACAGTTGACCTGTTTGGAGAAAAGAATTTTCATTACAGTGGAGTGTGTTTGGATATATGAAGACTTTACTGCATTTACTTCAAGAAAGGTGACCTGATATTAAGGTTATCACAATAACAGAAAAGCCTTGCAATGTGGAAACTGCAATTATTACTGCTTCAGAAGATGTATTGCCATACATCTAGAGCCTTATGAGAAAAGCAGCAGAGATCCCATTAAAAATGTACCCTCTTCTGACACTTGCTACTGTATATGGTAAATTTAACACTGGTTTCAATTATTTGATTAGTCTGTGCTGTTAAAGCACTGTCCTCTCAATACATTCACTGGGAAATGAAAATAATAAAATTTAACACCAACACAATGAGTAGCTGCTAACAGGTGCAGAAAGAGCTTGTCAGGAGTTACTATAGGGTATATACTAGGTGTGGTATAAACACCTACGTAAGCAGAACAGAAATCAAAGCACTACTTAAGAGCATCCTGATCAGCGTATGAAGTTTAATTTCTCACAACAAAGCAAGAGGATTCATTATGTAGACATAATATATTCCAGTCATAACATTGTCTCTAATTTAAGAGATGATTTGTAAAAAAAAGGCTCAGGAGAGCAAACTGACCAAACTCAATCAGGACTCTAAAGATTATAATCAAATAGCAAAACATCATCTTATCCATTACCAATGCAGAAATGAGTGGTCTGATGTGGTGGCTGACTGCAGCAATAGGATGGCACTACCTCAACATAGATAAGTCCAAAAGCTAAGCAAAACCCAAAAGCATCTTGTAAAATCCAGACCCTAGTACAAAGTACTAGCTTGCTGGATACCAGAAGAACCATTACTACAGTTCTTTCTAGTATGTGTCTGTACTCAGCACCAAAGATTGTCATATTATCTGGCAACCAAATTAGCAGAACCCATTCTGAGACTAGTTATCTTAAATACAAACCTTTCTGGTAATATAAGGAGCTGGCTTTTGCAAGTCTGTATTACCTCTTAACAGTTTGATCAAATAGCTGTTAAGTCAGATGGGGTGCCACCTAAACCTAAACTGAAAGTGGCTTGTACAGCCATTCACTGCTTCTTGGAGTGGTACATGCAACCATTTGCCACTGTTGGGAATACTGCGGGTAGCCCACAGTGGGCATGTCTACACATTCATTAATGTGCAGTGGTTACTGTGCATTTAATTTAGTACTTTTATAGCCAAGTACTAAATAAACGTGCAGTAACCAGAGTTACAGTGCAGTAGTGACAGCAAATGCATTTTTAGTGATGCACGGTAGCCTAATAATATGGTGCAGTAGCATATTAGCATTGTCTGTGCTGTGATGTACTACTGTGCAGTATTATTGGGCTACTGTGCAGTTAGCAGCTTGTACAGATGTGCCCACCTGAGCATTTGTGGTGCATTTGCAGCGAGGGGATTGGGGAAAATAGCCCAGTCAGGGTCATGGGGTAGAAAAAACACAGTCCCTGGGTTGCGGTGAGCAGCTGGGCTTTCCTAGCTTCTGGGCTGTGCTGTGAACATGTGCAAGCATTCCTGAGACTGGATTAACCCCTTCCTAGATTGGGTTAACACTTTCTTGACCAAAGTTAGCACACCTCCTGAGGCTGACTAATTTAGATATGGCATTTAGATTGACAATCCCTGTTTAGATCAATCTAAATGTAATGCCTGTACATACCCATGGTGTCTTCCCTTTGATAGCAGTAGCAGTTACATGCAGATCAACCCCCCCCCCCCACAATTTAAACAAAATTAGATGCTGATAAGCCCGCTATCTTTTATCCACATATATAGCTCTTATCTTGTCATTGGGCATTCCACTTTTTAACTAAGAACATTATATGACCCCAGTGTCCTGAATATATTTACATTAGCATTATTTTAAATAATTTCAGTTGGTACAATTTTGGATAATATATGAGCCCAAGAAGAGATCCAAATCTGCTTTATAGTTAGTCTATACTAACTTCAGAACCAGGCTCTATGATAAACCTCGGTCTTCCTTTCATCTAATTGTGTCCATATTTTAGGTTTCCAGATGCAGAACTCTGAAGCAATTCAGTTTATCCTAACCTTTTACTTGCACAAAAATATCCACTTCATAAGAAATGTAGTGGTTATCGTCTTTTTTTGTGTGTAGGTGATAAATTAAAGTCAAACACACTCTTACTGCTTTCAGAATGCTGTCAAGAAACCTACAATGAAAAATAATAAAGTTTGTAGACCTAATTAGCTGTAATTGCAATATTTAATAAGTGAGACACCTACCTGTAATGATAATCAAATCTCTTCACTGTTCCTGGACTGTAGGGTATTTTTTTACAGTAGCTTGCAAAATGTTAATGCTTACTGGGGCATTATTCATGTACAGTAAAAAAAAAAAAAGTGTTTGTACCCCGGTTCAAAAAATTATATTACTGTACTTTTTTATCAATTACATGTGATGAGGAGATTAAGAATCAGCACAGACTTGTTCACATCTGAAATATAATCTTAATTAAAGGCATTCACTTTAAGGCCAGATGAACAAATGTCAGAGTTCCTAGCAGAGAACACCTGGCATTCTTACTTTCACTTAGGCCCCTGACAGAGATTTATATAATGTCATGATTTGGATGTGAGGAATTTTGTACCTGATAACAAAAATCACATGTCCTACCATGACAGATGTGTAGTTTGGGAATGGGGTATAAAATTCCACAGGTCCCAATTAAGTGGCTTCTGGGTCTGAATTGGCCAAACCAGCTTCTGAGGCTGCCCCCTGACCAATCTCAATAATCAGCTGATTGTCAGGATTTTGCAGAGACCAGCCTGGACTCCTGGCTTAAGACCTAGGACTACCCTCATCCCAATCTTGGGATTGGGTAGGGGGAGTCTGTGTTCTGGACACCAGAGTCCCCTCCTGCCCCAGCCAATTGATCAGGTGATTGGTCTGCTTGGGCAGGAGGCCAGCCCTGGGTCCAGGAAACATGCCACATAATCAATTTGAAGCATGATACAAACCAGCCACAACAATATTAAGCATTTAATATGGAGCATCTTTGTGGCTTGTTTGCCATTTTACCATGCAATAAATTGTTAGAAGGTGTGTCATGTTGCAATTTCTTGTGCGATTATTATGTCAATTGTGTGATAAGTGTAATGTCTACCAAGACCCTCAAACATGTAAGATAGTGGGTGCATCTAAATGAGCAATTAGTCCACCACAATAAACTCCAGCTCCAGTTCACACAGGGATCAGCTGTTCCTGGACACAGCATTTACAAGTGTGCCAGGGCCCAGAGCAGTCTGAGCCAGGGTAGAGCAGCCCTGGGCTGGCAGGGGGACCTGGGGATTCAGCCCGGGACTCCAGATGGCAGCATCAGGTGGCAGAGGGGCTGGCTGGGGCACAAAGGTGCTACAGTGTAGAGCTAGCCACTGTAGCACTCTTGTGCCCCAGCCAGACCGGTCACCATATACACATGTGCTGTGGCATCATAAATTACTTGCCCTGGACAATACTATCCTATGGGTGCACGTGTAGATAGTGATGCTTTACTGTGGAGCTAATTAGTCAACTCCGCAGTAAAATGCACATATAGATGCACCCAGTATCTTGCAGTGCATATAAGTGTTGTAGCTGACTATCTAGAGATAAAGAATGAGGAGTTATTGAGTAACCACTTTAATATGCTGGCATAAGAGAGAAGAGAAAACAGTGGATTATGTTGTGTCCATGTATATTAGACTACAAAGTCAAGAATTTCAAATGCGAGTACTTGCAATCTCTCAGTATTTTAGCACTTGACATTTAATTTTTTCAGTGTAATTAAATAAGGTTGTTTGCTGCATTGCTAATGCAGGGGTTACAGTTTTATTTTTTTTAAACCAACCAAATAGCATTCAGGTCGTAAACAATAACACACATTAAATATAGCTTTAAATGTTACTGCTACATCTTGTGTGTTTACTTTGACCCTATGTTGCATGAAAACAATGAAAGTTGCAAGAGATAAGATATGATTTATAAGACTTTTATAATGCTTACAGCCATGTTTGTTGAAGTGATAAGATATTTGGTCTTTGAATAGCGCATGACAGGATATCTCCACTCTGCTTTAATGCCAAATGTAAAATAGTTTTTTCTTGTTACCAGATGCAACTATAAGCATAGAGGACAGGCAACATAATTGTAAACATCATTATACATTAAGATAAAATGAAAAGCCAAGCTTATCAGATTGCTTGTGACCTTAATATAGGCCATTTTTTCTTAATATCAAGGCTCTCAGTTGTGTTCCTTGTTGTGTGCTTAGAGAAACAGAGTGGAATACAGAGATAATTCAGCAGACCGGGATTCTCAGGAAATCAAAGCCTCATCTTTGACAAAAAGAAAATGCCTCTTCAAAAGTGCCAGTGTATGGTGTGACCAAATAAGTATCTGAAATGTCAATGTAATGTGTGATTAAATGCAAGTTTTAGTACATTCATCTGGTAATTAGTGAACTGAACTAAAGGGCTAGGGACAATATATACAATATACACTATATCTTGAATGTTATTAGGTGCCTGTATAAGAAAAAGGGCTTTTAGATGATTAATGCTGGCTCCTCTTCTATACTGCTGCTAAATAACATTTCCTAAAATAATTAATAAATTAGACTAGGGAATAAACTTAAAACAGCATGTTTAAATATAAAATATACACTTAGAGCCAGTTAATAGGGTAGGAGAGAATTCTTCAAATTCTTCAAATATTCTTCAAAGAATAATTAAAGGCAATTAAAGGCATTCTTTAAAAAAATGGAACAACAGTGACTGGGGATGTTCTTGGCCAAAAACTCTGTTCCACCTAAAACTGATAATACTTCTAGTTTGCCATCCTGAAAACAAAGTGCAACTCTCCAGTTTGTAAAATGAACCAAATTGTCAGTGTCAATGACTATTTTCCTCCCAATTTCCTACCATTTATAGCTAACACTTGTTCCTCTACTGTAGCTCCCTCAAAAAGGCAGCCTAACGCTATCAGTGGCTGTAAGCTCCCACACTGACAACTATTATCCATTATCCACTGACTTGATGTGCCAGCTCAACATCACTCTATTAACTGACTTGCAAGTTTTCCCACTCCCTATGGGACAATCTCTCTAAAAAGTGGCCCCTTGATTGATGTACTAAGACTCACAGTTCTTCAGCTGCAATTCCTTACTGGACAAACACAGTGCCAAGCACACATACATAAATGAAAGTATTACCACAATGATCATCGTGAAGCAGAAGTCTTTTAAACATTAATACTCTACAGGATTGGTGCCGTATTTTTTCATTCCACGATTAAAATACCAAGAAAACAGGATTTACTCATATTGAGGATGTAAAGAACATTCAGGGAACAAATTTTTGTCCCTCAGATATTCTGCTGGATCTCACTATTCAGAGATAAAAGACATTGCAGCATTCAAGTTTAAATATACCAAGGTTCTAATCATTTAGAGTAATTCCCAAAATAGAGAGTTATCCCTAACTTTTTAACTTCTGAATTTATTCTGGCAAAGCTGAAGTAATAAAATCAATCATAGTCTAATTTTCTGACAGTTTGATATAACCAGTACTCTCAGTATAGATAAAGCGCAATGAAACCTTTCTCCCCCCATAGGGAAGTCTTCCACTAATATTCCGAGATGCCAACTAACCTTCACATCTGCTGTTTCCCCATTGATCTCTGAAACTTGGCATGATAACTGAAGAGCCTGATGAGGCAATGCTATTCAGTGGCACTGCTTCCTTTTTGACAAAGGGAATGTAACAAAATAGCAGTTTGTTTTCAATATCTTCATGAGAAAAGCCATATGCAAATTATGGAGTTTAATTTGTAGTTATCCTTTATGTATGTGGTTGCTTTGGAGAGGAAGAGGGTTTGTTCCCTTAACTTTTGCCTATATAAAATTATGCAAATATTTTATGCAGAAGTTCATGTGATTTATGAATGAAATAAAAAGTCATTTTGTCTCTTACATGAACATGTGTGTCTGCATGCACACACACAGACTCTCCCCCCCCTCCCCCCCAATGCACAGAGAGCTGATTCAACTCACTTTGGAAATTAATACAAAAACAAAACTTGATGAAAATTTAATATAAATCTTTCTATGAGATATCCCCTTTAATATTTTATAGTCCCATCATTACATATCTGTTTCTGTGTATTTACTTTTAATAATACTGAGCTCAAAGGCACTCAGACCTTTTTGTAACACCAATGTTTAATCACCACATCTTTTTAACAACAACTACTTACATGAAATATTTAATTTGATAACCATGTGCTATGCTTACAGTGCTGTATAAAAAAGGTATTGCAACAGGAAAATAAATATCACAAAATAATAAACATATTTTTTCTACAACACTGAAATACACTATCACCAGAATAATCAAGGAAGTATCTGCTTCCTTGAAACAAAATGAAAGGCAATTATAGTATGCATAAATTCAAAATGAGTGAATTTCATTGGTATTTTGATTTGTCTGGCATTTTCATACTCTTTGGAAAAGCATTTTAACCTTATCCAAATGAGCTTAATAAGCATTTTTTGACAACTTTGAAAGAATGAGACTTTTGTGGGATTTCAGGAACTTCAAACTACTAGGCCTACATTTTGTCCTATGAGTATTCTTGCTTAGTTTGTATTATATCATTCAGTTGTATTTTAAGAGTCTAATTGTGATAGCCGTTAAATCCATGTAAATTAAAATTAATTCAATCTTTTAGGTCAGGTACAGACATTACACTTTTACCAGTATAAGGGATTAGAAACTGTTCTACACCTGCAACAGAACAGAAGTTCAGCACACACAGACACAGGCTGATATAAAAATAGTGGAACCCAGTCTAAGATATGCTCCCCCAACCAAAGGACAAATGTGTGTTCTGTTAGCTACCAATCTAAACTACACTGCTCATAGAAAATGGTGTAAGTTAGACTGAATCCACCTCAGGCTTTCTGAATGTCTGTACCTAGCCTTAAAGTCAGTACAGTTTAACAATCAAGAAACAGTGATGACTGAAATCCAAATCAAGGTTTAAAATTGTAAAAGGACATGCTATGTATTTAGAACTGGAACACTATTCAGCTACTATGATACTGTTTTTAAATAAATAATTATTAAAATAATACTTCTAACACTTAGGACAGAAATCAGAATTTCTCTCTATCAGTCTCGTTCCCAGGATTTCATCAATTTTCCTCCCATCTCACCCTGTAACGCAGAAGTCAAGAGATGCATGAAAATGAAAAATAGGAAGAGAATGAATAGTTCTGAATATACCAAAATGTTTGGTGTATACACCACGGCAATTTTTAATGTAGTTTGTAATCTAGGTCATGAAGCCAGATTTTAATGCAATTAATCAAAGAAAAAGGATATGTTTGGAAGTAGATGGCATTTTCCCATATTATATAAAAGGCAGTGCAACATAGCATCTTTAAAACTACCTGGGTTCAGAGCGGCATATACTTTCACAAGTGCTAGCCTACTTCTTCAGATGTTATGACTGGACTTGCACAAAGCAGTGCTTTAAAACAGAAGGCAAGTACAAAAGGATAGTGAGAGGCACCGCTGAGAGGGGCCAAAGGTAGGTTGAATAGGTCACTAGAAATAAACAAGGTAATTAACCTATTGAGGTACATAGATTTTGTAAAAACAAGCCTGGGTAAAAGGATAAGAATCCATTATCTCTGTTGAGATCATAATTAACACATTCTCTGGATGATATTTTATTCTGTAGCTCTGCATTTGAGTCTTAAAGTTTAGTTGTTTGACTGAAGTCAGTGATGCAATGCAATAACTAGGGAAGAGTCAAGTATTCTGCAACAGGCTTTTGTATCTTTCTGAAATTGATGTCAGAGCAGTGTCTACTTTTTCTTTCACATAGAGACACTCCCGACTGTTCAATGTAGACAGCAAAGGGTCACTAAGTATGTAATGGTGTATATGGTGTTGGTAGAAAAGTAAGTTCAGGAAGCCTAGATGGTATATGCTGTATATGACTGGTTCTCCTCTGCCACTAAGTATTTCTTTTGTATGTGGTTCTTTTCAACCTGCAATCTAAGTTGATTCCATATGAGACTTAATAAAAATAACAATAGCAGCATTTTTTTTTCTTTTTATTATCAAGTCCTTCTCCTGAACCAGTTTTGGCATCACTGTGAAAACTGTTATAGAAGCCCCTTCCTTTTGCTTATCTTTTAGTTGTTGTTGTCTTTATTCCATAGGAACTATTTTAAATAATGGTTCCTTGTGTAGCAAATGAATCAGTGTCTCTTACTGCAACAATATTTGAATGGTTGCAGCCTAAAATGATGGAACAAATTTGATGAAAGCCAAATGGTTAGTTTCAGAGGAGAAACTATGTTTAAAACTCTGAGGCTGTACACAGCTTTAAATTTTGCAGCCTCTTTTGATTAATGACTACCTTGTTTTTAGTAAGTGAGTTTGCCAGTTTGCTGAATTGTATCTTTCCATTTACAGGTTCCCAATGAAAATCCTGGCATCTATAAATACTGAGCTCCCACATGCTTCCAACAAAATATGCAAAGTATGTTACATTAGTAGTGTACGCATCAAAAACCTGCACCTGTCACCCTAACTTAATTTAATAAAAAAATTCTATTGAACTGATAAAACGTGAAAAAAACAACAAGCTATGCAGTAGATGACATAGTTACATCTGCCCTGCTGGTGGAAGATAAATGTATCCAAGCTCTTAATATGATCAAACAGATGGAGTCACATGGGTGAGACAAAATGGTGGATATGTGCTTGTTTTTAGTTCTCTTTGTTTTTAGTTTTACAATGCAGGGCTTTTACAGACACTGGTGTTCTGGATGATAATTGTTTCTTGCTAAAATGGCCATGTTAGTCCCATTAAAATATGACATCCACAAGGGCAATCCAGAATTTTGTTGTATAATAACTTCAAAATGTAAAACTTTCCTGTGATTTAAAAAAAGGGGCAGTTTTTTGCTTTTGTGCCCCAAAAATGTGAGTGCAATTATATAAAATAAAGACTTTGCAACCTTTGGAATGTAATCCAAAGAAGGACCAATATGCCCAATTTTATTTTAAAGTCTTTTTTTTAGAATATTTACTTTAAAAAAAAGAACCCTATAAAATGCCAATATTTTCATGCATTACTAACTTGAAATCAGCTCTGTAAATAGTCACACTGTATGGTGTATATGTACCTGTGACAAAACTTCTATTGCTTCCGTCCTGACCAGAGGTAAGAATGTGCCACAAAGGGTAATATAGTCAGTGTCACACTTTGTTGGAAAAAAAAAATTCAGGTCAGGGAAATAATCCAAAATATTCTGATCAGGATGTAACCAGTCCCAAATATTACATTTCAGTTTTTTCTAGTGAAAGGAAATTACACATTTGTAGGAAACTTATTTTTCTCATTTAAATTTTGCAGAAAATAATTTCAATGGAAAATTCATAACTAATTATGTAATGGTTGAAGTTCTATATCTCCATTTAAATACATTTGTTAATGCCAACTAAATAGGGCAAAGGCTTTTATACAATCTAAATTGTTCTTGCTAAGAACTGGTGGTTCTTTTACTTCTCTCCAAATGCACGCAGTGTTGTTTAGTGGATAGAACTGTGGACTGAGATCCAGGAAACCTGGAAACCTGTAGCAGTTCTGATATTATCCTACTAGATGACTGTAGACAAGTTATTTTAATGTCTTCCGGCCCAGTTTCCACATCTCTAAAAAAAAGGTAGTGATACTCTTGTAAAATATTTAGAGAGTTTTCCAAAAATGAAACACTGATGAAATTGCTGTGTAGAGTTAGGTATGATTACTAAAATGGAATGTTAGTATAGTTAGTAGTATAGTAATTAGTTATAATCTCAATGATAAATATCTATACTTTAAATCTTTTAAACCTATTACTAGTTCCAGGAAAGATCAACATACCAAATAGTGTACTAAAAAGGTCAGTGTCATGTTGGAATAATCCTAATAGGAAGTGATCTCAGATTTAATACGGATTTGCAGGTGACAACAGTAGAATTAGTTAAAAAATTGGAATGTCAGAGGGTAATGGAGATAAGAAGATAAAGATCCACAGACATAATGCTGAGAATATCAAAAATGCTAAAGGAAAATATTTCAAATTGAACTGATGTTTAAAAAATATATTCAGATTAGTGTAGTAGTGAAATTAGCACAAAAGTTTTCAAACTAAAACTTTATATAATGCATTACATCTATATGTCTGCTATTGTTTCAGGAAATATATTAAGATTGAGGTGACAGAGGCAGAGATCAAAGTCATCTTATTTTAAAATGTTTAAAAATGTATATTTTTCTAAATTTCTATTTAGAAATTCTTCATATGACATAGTTGCCTATCTTATTTCAATTACCTCAGAGTGTATCATAGCAAAACAAGAGATCGCAGATGACTGGATTTGATGACCTAGGAAGTGAATTTCAGTTTTAGGTTCCTCTCTTCCTCCCTAAAATTTAAGTGTTTATAGGAAAATATGCTTCGTGCCTCAACCTTGCAAGCAACCGAGCTGTTTGAAGACAGCTAGACAAATTAACAAACACATTATTGTTTCCCTGTAGTCAAAGGAAATCCTTAACAGTTCAACAGGAGGGAAAGTTTTGCCTGAACATAATTTTATAGGCAGTACTATTCCTTTTTGCTGGCTAAATCCAAGGGAAAGCTCAGCAGCCATCCCATCAAATCACAGAATATACTTGATGTTAGTTTTCCTCTCCCATTGAAAGTTCCTTCAAAGATATGACCATCTTGTAGTCTACCTGTTACAGAAAATGGAGATGGACTAAAGAGGACAAGAAGCTTCTGTCAATAATCTCATACTGATGTGTCTTACAGTATTGGAAGATACTCTGTAAGTCAAAAAGTTAAATGTCTCCTCTTCCTGAAGTGAAAAGGGCTGTCAGCCTTACCATGGGCTTTCTGACTTTCTGTTAAACAGCAAAACCAGAATTCTGAAGTCAAGCCTTAAAAGGATCTGCAGAGGCATTCTTTATATTTAAAAAACAAAAATTCAACCATCCAAGCAATCGTCACACTTAAACGTTAAAATAAATTAATCGCATCCCCTATCTCAAGATATGCACTTCAGTCACTTGCTAGAGCAATCAATCAAGGTGATTGCTTGGCATTTATTGATTTGCATAATGCATATTTCCATATCAGAAAGTCATCGTCACTTACTAATAGTATTTATCAGCACCACACAAAATCTCTCACTTGCCTCCGGAATACAAGGAGTGCCAGAAACAACAACAAAATTTACTCAATACCTTCATCTGTTGACAATGAAATTGGAGAAATCTCTTCTGAAAACTCCAGATGCAGTTCAACAGTCTGCAGCTGCAAAAGCATGTCTTTATAATTTTGGGTAGAGAGAACACTGACTCCCTTGCTAAAATTCAGTTATTAAAGTCTGAAAAGTCACACTTTCCTACTGAGAAAAGAATTTTTAAAAAATCATGTGGATCTATACAAAAGCAAAGGATAACTGACTAACAGATGGATTGCACCTATTTGGTCTTATGTCTTTATGCACAGATAATTCTTTGAGTGAGGCTTCATCTATCTTCAGATAGCATGACTCAGGACAACATTTTGTCAAATGCCAAGAATCTGTGCAGTTCATGATAAGGACCCTAAATACAGTAATATTGTGTTAACGGATAATTTCAGAAATCTGCTAAAAAAGGTTACCCATATTAGAGCCAGCTTGTGCAATTAGCAGCAGAAATGCATCTCCAAAAGACAAGGTAACCCATCTAGACAAGCATTCTGTTCAGACCAATGAATAAAACTGGAAAGGAAATGCATCAATATAATAGGACTCTATGTGGTGTCCAGGGCAATTTTGGCACTGAAAACATTTCTCATACACAAAGCAATACTAATGCAGTTGGACAACACCTCAGTAGTATCATATATAAACTGACAAGGCGGAACCACAAGTTCACCCATGCTAATGAATAGGGGCTCTCAAGCTGCTTCAGTGGGCAGGAGCTCAATGCCAGATTCTGAAAGCTGTTCACAGAGCAGGATCTCACTGCATAGCAGACTGGTGGAACTGAGAGACAGTTCAGCCTGGCAAATGGTTCCTGAATCACAGAGTCTGAATGAGTCATAGATCAAATCTGCAAACTTTGGGTTAGTTACTCAGAGACAGATGTGTTTGCTCTGAAAACAATGAAAAGTTCATTTTATTATCACTACTTCTGAGAGCACAAGTATTCTCAGTAGATAAACTGCCAATGCCTCAAACAAAGTCTAGCACTGAAATTAAATAGGTCCCTGTTTGTGGTGTAAAAGTTCTCTGTGGTTCCCAATTCCCACTCTAACCTCAGTCATGGGCTAAGGACAGACATTCAAAAAGCCTGAGCCTGAATTGATTCAATCTTTGCAGGTTAGTCTAACCTGGCTAGGCTGAACTGGTTTGTAAACAGACAGACATTTTCTCTGGACTGAGGAAATTCAGGCACATGCCTGCAGTGGCTCAGGCTAGAAGCTGGAAGGCACTAGAGCAGCCCTCCCT